ATAAATCTTGGCCAAAATGTATTCTGTTATCTTTTTAGTAAAAAAAAAAAAAATCCAAATGAGTTTATAACCAAAAATTATAATTTTTAAAACATTTTTTTTTTTATTTTAATTTTATTTTTTTATATTATTATTTTTTTTATTTATTTTTTTTTTTTTTTTACATACTGTCACCCTAGCAGTACAGTGTCACCATGGTGACACTGCACTACTTGTGGGGGGTGATGAAGATTTTTTTTTTTTTTTTTACACTATTTGCTTTTACACCTACCGTATTTTTCGCTCCATAAGACGCACCTGACCATAAGACGCACCTAGGTTTTAGAGGTGAAAAACAAGAAAAAATAATATTTCTGAACCAATGGACTGCAGTCACAGTACAGGGGATGACCAGAGACTGCGGACATAGTACAGGAGATGACCAGAGACTGCGGACATAGTACAGGAGATGACCAGAGACTGCGGACACAGTACAGGAGATGACCAGAGACTGCGGACACAGTACAGGAGATGACCAGAGACTGCGGACATAGTACAGGAGATGACCAGAGACTGCGGACAGTACAGGAGATGACCAGAGACTGCAGACACAGTACAGGGGATGACCAAGAGACTGCGGACACAGTACAGGAGATGACCAGAGACTGCAGACATAGTGCAGGAGATGACCAGAGACTGCGGACATAGTACAGAAGATGACCAGAGACTGCGGACAGTACAGGAGATGACCAGAGACTGCGGACACAGTGCAGGAGATGACCAGAGACTGCAGACATAGTACAGGAGATGACCAGAGACTGCGGACACAGTACAGGAGATGACCAGAGACTGCGGACACAGTACAGGAGATGACCAGAGACTGCGGACACAGTGCAGGGGATGACCAGAGACTGCAGACACAGTGCAGGAGATGACCAGAGACTGCGGACACAGCACAGGGGATGACCAGAGACTGCGGACAACCAGTGCAGGAGATGACCAGAGACTGCGGACACAGTACAGGAGATGACCAGAGACTGCGGACACAGTGCAGGGGATGACCAGAGACTGCGGACACAGTGCAGGGGATGACCAGAGACTGCGGACAGTGCAGGGAATGACCAGAGACTGCGGACAGTGCAGGGGATGACCAGAGACTGCGGACAGTACAGGGATGACCAGAGACTGCTGACCTTTGGGGAGGGAGGGGGAGTGGGTACCTGAATTTGACAGGTACCCGCTCCCACTTCTGCGGAGTTGCCTTCCCTCTTCTTCCCGGGCCGGCTTCTGTGACAGCCGGGTGCCCACTGCGCATGTGCGAGAAGCGCTGCGCTTTGTGAATGGCCCGGCGCCTTCTGGGACCTGTCATGTGTCCCAGAAGACACCGGATCATTCACAAAGCGCAGCGCTTCTCGCACATGCGCAGTGGGCACCCGGCTGTCACAGAAGCCGTCGCGGGAAGACTGCAGCGCTGGAGTGAGGAACAGGTAAGGCCCTGCAGGAGAGAACAGCTGAGCGGCCGGCCCGGTATTCTGACATGGTGGTGGCAAAAATACCGGACCGGCCGCTTTATATTCGCTCCATAAGACGCACTGACATTTCCCCCCCTTTTTTTGGGGGAAAAAAGTGCGTCTTATGGAGCGAAAAATACGGTATATAGGATGTAAAAGCAATCATTTCTCTTTCTCTCTGTGTACATTCTTGCACTCATTGAAAAGTACTGAGTCAGCTGTGAGTGGTCACAGCTTGTCACATGATACAAGGCTGTTGTGAACAGCCTTGTACCATGTGACCTCTGTGATCATTCACAGATTTCACACGTAGTAAGCAATGATGTCACATGTCACATGAAGTGACATCTTGCTTACTACTTTGCCTGTGATCACTGATTGGCCAATCAGTGATCACATGATCGGGACCTCGTACAGAGGTCCCGTCCAATGATCGGTGTTTCACTGTGTCCGGAGGACACAGCGGGCACTGGATCGCGGTGCTGTGCGCTCCCGGGAAGCGCGCACAAAACAGGGTGCGGGGAGGCCGTTTATAAACGGCCACCCGACCCTGCAGTGCCACCGTCCGGCCGTTTATATGCAACGGCCGGTCGGGAAGGGGTTAAACAGCTTCACGCCAACTGTACGCAAATATTCAACCCCACTGGACTGGGCATTTTTTCTGTGGGGCCACATATTTGCGTACCTGTCTTTGTGCTGGGAGCGCTCTACAGAGACTGGGGTCTCATTGAGAGCCTAGGGTCCTGTAATAATGATGGGGACCAGGAACCCATTTCTCCCATTTCTGGGTCACCTGATCGCTGTGAAAGCCTCTGATTGGCTATCATAGTGATCAGTCACTGTGTAAACTGCCCTTTTGTTTTATCTCTCTGAATGAAGGAGATAGATGTATCTCTGAAAAAAAAAAAGTGTTTGTAGAAAAAAAATAAAAATAAATACAATTTAAAAATTAAATGAAAATACCTAGATCAAGGTCAGTGCCAGGGTTAGTGTTTGGGTCAAAGTCAGGGTCAAGATCAGGGGTCAGGATCAGGGGATTTTTTTTTTTTCGGGTCAGGATTTTTTTTTTTGAATTAGCATCAGTTAGTGTCTGTGTCAGAGTATTTTAGGCAGGATAAAAAAAAGAAAAATGTACACTATTGTTCTGGGCCGTACTATGGGTACAAACAACAACTAACAACTAATGTGGTATTGCTGCGATAGTCAGGAGTAGGAGAATTTATTTTGGGCTATTCTTTGGTGGTAGGTGTAGTAGCAAAAAATATACAGCTACATTAAAAAATATATTTTTTATTATTTTGTACCAGTTTTCTTTTGAGAAAAAAAAATCAGGAGAAAAGTATTACCATTTACCATCAAATTAAAGCCCAATTTGTCCTGAAAAAGTCAAAGTATAATCCACCTGGATGTACAAAGTAGTTGTAATGATATGGACGGTTTTACTAACACATGTCAATGTTTCAAAATTGTGCTTAGGCATTAGGATTTATTTTACCCAGGGGCGGACTGACCATTTGGAAACTCAGGCACTGCCCGTGGGCCCGGGGTCAGTAGGGGGCCCCATGAGATGCCCCTGGTACCTTTTTCATAGGTTTTTTTGAGTTTGGGCAAGGACACAGGGGCCCGTTGATCCCCTATTGCACAGGGGCCCCATGAGTTGTCAGTCCACCCCTAGTTTTACCCTTAAGCGCAAAGGGGGTAAAGCATTTGTAAAGGCTAGAAATGTTTACCTTAACCCCCCTGGCGGTATTCCCGAGTGTACCTCGGGGTTAACTTTCAGTACCAGAAGCGGTAACCCCGAGCTACACTCAGGAATACAATGCAGCGCTTCTCAAGTGATCCCTGTATCACTTACTTTGTCCTGCATTCCCGCGATGTCCCCCCTGCAGCGTCCCCGGCCATCTCCTCTGGCAGATGCCTTCATCTGTCTTCTGGGTTCCGTTCCCTGCGAGCTTCGGGACGTATGGGGACGGAACTGGCGGGAAATTAAAAAATGTCAAAATGTGACATTCACTAAATACACTAAAATCTGATAGTATTCCATTCCTGTATCAACCCATTTCACATACATTTTCTCCCGAGTGCTTTGTCCGGCGCCCTGCCTGCATTTTTACTGTTCTTTCTGCCTGGAAACTGAGAAACGTCCATGGCGTCCAAAAAGCGTCCCTTTAGGTCAAAAGCGGTTTTAGACCGGCTAGAGAACAGCGATAGTAAATTAGAACCACTTGCAGAATTCAGTGATAATGATTTGTGGGGGAAATTCGTCATCAGACACTGAAAAAAATTTTGCAACTGAACTCAGCGATGTGCGAACTTGGCGCTCTATTTCAAATTTCAGTGTTTTTTGTTTGATTACATTATTAAATAAATTTTTTTATTATTATTATATTATTATTTTTTGATTATTTATTATATTATAATTTATGATTTCATGTTTCAAATTTTATCATACCCGGGATGTTTACTAGACTCTTGTTCGGACAGATTTCAGTGACTTATTCCTAAAAATTACAGGCCTATAATAAAAAAACAACAAATTTCCATTGAAAATAACGTACCACTTTGAGCACAGAAATACTGACATAATCAGACCGCTAGGAAGGTTAATGCATTCCCTGCATTAAGTTAAAAAATGTCCAAGTAGCAGTATTGCCCCCTCACCTCCTACGAGTTCTCACTTGATCCAGTGCTAAGCCCATGTAGGGTGTAGATCTACTCACTCAGTCTTCTGTCTGTGAGCTGATGGGTTGGATGCTGATCTCAGGCCTTCTGCTGGTCCACTCTTTTCCTACTGAGCAGGTGGTTCTGGGAGCCGATAAGGTCCTGAGTTTTACTCCCTTCCAGCACCACTGCCTGTAGGTGAGCCCCTTCCAAACCGGGCCCCCTCCCAGGCACCTCATCCTTCTCTCTCCATTCTTCCACCCGAGCTCTCCCACATTTAAGGGCTGCCCTGGTCCCATGCCAAGCCTCCTGCTTGAGGATTGGCCAAAGTACTCTGAGTGTGCAGGCCAGCTACTCCTCACCTCTGCCCACTGCTTCTCAAATCTTTTCCAAGATGCTAGAGCAGGGGAGGTATCAGGGAACTGACCTGCAGAGCCTCTCATCCCTGACCCAAATTTGACCCTGCTGACTATTTCTCCAGGCTTCTGCTTAGATTTTCTAACTAACAATCAGCAACCAACTCTCCTTGGTTATCTAGAGGGGTGCTACAAAAGTAAAAAAAACATTTTACCCTTACAACCACTTCACATATTAAAAAATAAGATCTAATAACATTAACTTCACCTCTTTAGCAATGATGGCAAATTCAGTGCTTCCATACAAAGAGTCTGGTTCGGTGTTTCCATACAAAGAGTCAGTGGTTGGTTCGGTGTTTCCATACAAAGAGTCTGGTTCGGTGTTTCCATACAAAGAGTCTGGTTCGGTGTCTCCATACAAGGAGTCTGGTTCGGTGTTTCCATACAAAGAGTCTGGTTCGGTGTTTCCATACAAAGAGTCTGGTTCGGTGTTTCCATACAAAGAGTCTGGTTCGGTGTTTCCATACAAAGAGTCTGGTTCGGTGTCTCCATACAAGGAGTCTGGTTTATGTTCATACTGGTTGTTTGTAAAAGTGGAATCCTCAGTTTTAATTTTTTCCTCAGTTTTCTTCATCCTAAAAGTTTAAAAATATACTAATGAATGGTATTAAAATTATGAATTAAACTTTAGTAACCTCAAAGGAACTTGCAAGAAACCTTTCACAAGACATTGTAACATTGGTAAATGTTCATGTTGAGGGCAAGTGGTTGATGACCAGAGTGGAGAGAGAAAGGTGTGGATTAGGGACATTCTCTGTGCAGTTCTATTTCTGTAGACATGGGATGACTGCTTTGGCTCTCTGGTGGCTCCCATTTTCCATTATTTTGGCCACTCCTCCCCTCACCTTTTTCCCCTCTCTTTCTTCTTCCATCTCTTCCTATTTTCCACACAAACCTAGTAGAAGACTTCCCCACCCCATTTTGTCCCATATTTGTGGTTCCTATTATAGGGATTTTCAACCCTAGATCCTTTTTTTTAGTTTGTTCTTTCCTATTCTCTCCTTTGGTCATTTTTTCTTGTTGTTTTTGTTGTTTAAATTAAATTTTCATTACACAAGATGGTTCTATCCAATTGATGGATATTCTCTTTTGTAGTATAGATGGATAAAAACAGCAAATTGTCTTTATTACTATAGATTTCTTTATGAAGCACATGACCAACCACAGTATATCTATGCTATGTCTCTGTAATAAGACAATGGGATTTATTTGCTAAAGCTGCATGCATGGTGCAAAATCAGATGCAGATCTGCACAGAAACCAATCAGCTTCTAGGTTTTATTGTCAAAGCTTAATTGAACAAGCCAAAGTTAGAAGCTGATTGGCTGCCATGCTCAGCTGCACCAGATTTTGAGTGCTCTGGTTTTAGTAAATCTTCCGCAGTGTAGAATATTCTCCATGGCTGGTAATATGTTTTTTTGTCTGTGTTTTGTTTAATCTTGTTGAATTCTATAAATATATATATAAAAAAAAAACTTTAGACAATTTGTTATTCTTGTTTATAGCCTTGGAGACCAATCTAGAAAACTCTGTTTATAATTTTATTTTTGTACACATGCTTCCTAACTTTCTAATGAAGGCATGAGTTGTATGAAAATCATATTTTATATCCTCCTGACTTTGAAGGCTTTTAATCAGATAGGTAAGATGTGCAACAAGATACACTATATTGCCAAAAGTATTGGACCACCTGCCTTTCCACGCACATGAACTGTAATGGCCCCCCAGTCTTAGTCCGTAGGGTTCAATGTTGAGTTGTCCCCGCCCTTTGCAGCTATAACAGCTTTAACTCTTCTGGGAAGGTTTTAGTTGTGTCTATGGGAAGTTTTGACCATTCTTCCAGAAGGGCATCTGTGAGGTCAGGCACTGATGTCGGACGAGAAGGCCCGGCTCGCAGTATCCGCTTTAATTCATCACAAAGGTGTTCTGTCGGGTTGAGGTCAGGACTCTGTGCAGGACAGTCAAGTCCCTCCACCCCAAACTGGCTCTTGTCTTTATGGACCTTGCTTTATGCACTGGTGCTCAGTCATGTTGGAACAGGAAGGGGCCATCCCCAAACTCTTCCCACAAAGTTGGGAGCATGAAATTGTCCAAAATGTCTTGGTATGTTGACTCCTTAAGATTTCTCTTCACTGGAACTAGGGGGCCAAGCCCAACCCCTGAAAAACAACCCCACACCATAATCCCCCTCCACCAAACTTTACACTTGGCACAATGCAGTCAAGCAAGTACTGTTCTCCTGGCAACTGCCAAACCCAGACACTTCCATCAGGTTGCCAGACAGAGAAGTGTGATTGGTCACTCCAGAGAACATGTCTTCACTTCTTTAGAGTCCAGTTGCGGTGTGCTCTACGCCACGGAATCCGACGCTTTGCATTGCACTTGGTGATGGAAGGCTTGGATGCAGCTGCTTGGCCATGGAAACCCATTCCATGAAGCTCTCTACGCACTGTTGTTGGGCTCATCTGAAGGCCACACAAAGTTTGGAGGTCTTTAGCTATTGACTCTGCAGACAGTTGGTGACTTCTGCGCACTGTGCGCTTCAGCATGCGCTGACCCTGCCCTGTCATGTGACGTGGCCTACCACTTGGTGGCTGAGTTGCTGTTGTTCCCAGTTGCTTCCACTTTGTTATAATCCCACTAACAGCTGAGCGTGGAATATTTAGTAGCCAGGAAATGTCACAGATGGACTTATTGCACAGGTGGCCACCTATCACGGGACCACGCTTGGAGTCACCGAGCTCCTGAGAGCGACCCATTCTTTCACAATGTTTGTAGAAGCAGTCTGCATGCCCTAGGGGCTTGATTGTATACACCTGTGTCCATGGAGGGGATTGGAACACCTGAATCACATGATTTGGAGGACTGGCCCAATACTTTTGGCAATGTAATGTATTTGACTTAATTTTTATTAAAATCTTTATCCTTTTACTAAGCCCTGGTTCACACCCGTGTGATTTGTCATGCGATCTGACAGTTCGAAATCGCATGACAAGTTGCACCCTATTTGTGCCTATGGAATCGTTCAAATCAGAGAGGGTTATTTACTAAAACTGAAGAGTGTAGTGCAGCTCTTCATAAAAATCAGTCAGCTTCCAGATTTTATTGCCAAAGCTTAACAAAATGAGCTGAAGTTAGATAATTGGCTACCATGCACAGCTGCACCAGATACTGAGTGCCAGGGGCGGACTGACCATTTGGAAACTTGGGCGCTGTCGCGAGGGTCCCGGGGTCTACTGACCCATGAGATGCCCCTGGTACATTTTTCATAGGCTTTTTTGAGTTTGGGCAAGGACACAGGGGCCCCATGATCCCCTATTTCCGGGGGCCCCATGAGTTGTCAGTCCGGCCCTGCTGAGTGCACCAGATTTTAGTAAATCAAAACCATTTTGACTCCAACTTTGTTTTTGAGAAAGGTTCCTGCACTTTTTGTGGCAATTTTATGTGTGACTTGTATTGGCATCTGTGCATGAAGTTGACAGAAGTCAGCAAGCCACACATAAAATTGCACTTGCCGACGGCTTTCAAATCGCGCTACTTCAGCTGAAGTAGTGAGACTTCAAAGCCGCATTTGGTGTGAACCAGGTCTAAACCAAGTAAAAAATAAATAATAATAAAAAAGAAGAAACGGTTGCCGCTTGTCAGCTTCAGTTTATTCCTACATATCTGTAAAATACCAAAGGGCGTACCCAGGGGTGGACTGACAACTCATGGGGCCCCCGGGCAATAGGGGATCATGGGGCCCCTGTGTCCTTGCCCAAACTCAAAAAAGCCTATGAAAAAGGTACCAGGGGCATCTCATGGGGCCCCCAACTGACCCTGGGCCCTCGGGCAATGCCCGAGTTTCCAAATGGTCAGTCTGCCCCTGGGCGTACCCCATTACTTCAGTGCAAATGTTTCCATGAGGTAGCTTCTGATTGGTTAACCCCCCTGGCGGTATTCCTGAGTGTAGCTCGGGGTAAAGTTTCAGTACCACAAGCAGTAACCACAAGCTACACTCGGGAATACACTGCAGCGCTGCTCCGGGATCCCTTGATCACTTACCTTGTCCTGCGCTCCCGCGATGTCCCCCCTGCAGTGTCCCCTGTAATGTCATCCGGCGATGCCGGCATCTGTCTTCTGGGTTCCGTTCCCTGCGATGTCGGGACGTACGGGGACGGAACTGGTGGGAAATTTGGAAATGACAAAAAGTGACATTCACTAAAAACACTAAAATCACATAGTATAACATTCCTGTATCAAACCATTTCACATACATTTTGTCCCGAGTGCTTTGTCCGGCGCCCTGCCTGTATTTTTACTGTTCTTTCTGCCTGGAAACTGAGAAACGTCCATGGCGTCCAAAAAGCGTCCCTTTAGGTCAAAAGCGGTTTTAGACCGGCTAGAGAACAGCGATAGTAAATCAGAACCACTTGCAGAATTGAGTGATAATGATTCGTGGGGGAAATTCCTCATCAGACACTGAAAACGATTTTGCGACTGAACTCAGTGATTTGCGAACTTTGCGCTCAATTTCAAATTTCATTGTTTTTGGTTTGATTATATTATTGAATTAAATGTATTTATTATTATATTATTATTTTTTTTATGATTATTTATTAAATTATAATTTATGATTTTGTGTTTCAAATTGTAACATCCCCGGGATGTTTACTAGACTCTTGTTCGGACAGATTTCAGTGAGTTGTTCCTAAAAATGTCAGGCCTACAATAAAAAAAATACATATTTCCATGCAAAAAAATGTACCGCTTTGAGCACAGAAATATGGACATAATCAGATCCGCTAGGGAGGTTAAAGTAGTTTCCTTTGCCAAAAAAAAGGTGAATTATAATGGCTTACCTGCTACTCAACAGAAGCTTCAGTGTTACAGCAACCAACAAGACGACAGCAATTCCAACTGCACCAGCAATTCCAACTACAACAACAAGCAATTCCAACTGCATCAGCAATCAGAAGATACTTTGTATTATCCGCTATATTAAAAGACATGTATGCAATTATTGAAATTAATTGAGAATTCTACACTCTATATTCTGCTAAATTCTAATTTAAAAAATACTAGCCATTAAAGCACAAATAAAGGCAGATTTAAAAAAAACACCAATTTAAACAACATTCATCAAAAAGAAAACTAATAATTTTTTCAAAAGCCTCTAGTCTAAGGGGAAGATTCATTTTAAAAATGTGCTTTGAGAACGGCGCAACATTCGTGAAAGCTTAACAAATAGTTCCTGTAATGTCTGTAATATATGTGCAATAGTTTTCCTTGTTGCCTTTCCTTGTTGCCAGGCGAAATGTAACCCATAACCTCCTAAAGCAGGAGTTCCACCCAAAAAGTGGAAACTTTGCTTGCAAAAAAGGGGGGGTGCAGCGCTAAGAAGTTAAATATCAATAAATAAATAGATCTATAAAAATGTTTCCAATATAAAATGCATAAAAATGCATAAATGGAATAAAATTAGACCAGTTCAAATAGTGAGTGAGACAGTTCAAAAAGGTGACTCATGTGCTCTGGTTATTCTGGAACCGGTGTCCCTGCAATTGTAGTGTAAATAATGCGCACTCACTGGACGCGCATGTAAAATGCGCCTTATATCAATATTCCAGATGTCATCAAGGGGAGTCAGGAACTGGGTGGTCTTCCCTCTAAGGGATGGTAGGTCATCAGACAGGATCATTGGGGCTTTACAGGTGATCCACATCCCCCGGAGTTCCCCTTAAGGGGTTAAAACCGGTATTGCTCCCTGGGTAGGAGATTTCCTCTATGGTTGTAAAGGTTCGTCCTGAGGCAATATATATCGAAAAATTATTTTTCGGCAACTACCCACTGAAAGGGTTGACCAGAGTTCATCCTCGCTCTCCCCGGGTTGGGATGTGCTGGGAAGGATCCAGGGACGGTCGGGTTGTTTTCCTCCTCCAGGGCGGAGATCTCCTCCCAGAGAGGTTCCAGTCCGGCGATGTCAGGCAGGCTGAGCACACAGGGCGCTCCTCTAGTGCAGCCTCATGGTGTCCCCGTTTCCCGGAGGGGGTCCCGATGGGCGGTGGGGTGTCTAGGAAGCTTTGCTTGTTTGCCTCCTCCCCACCTACACTGCCATATTTGGCACTTTTTTGGGGGGGAGCAGATACCTGTTTTTGATGGGTATCCGCTCCCAATTCCGGCTCAGATCGCCACAGCAAAGTGAGCCAGAAGTCTTCCTTCCTCAGTCTTCTGGGACACTTCACAGGTCCTAGAAGACTGGCAAACCAATCACGATGCGCAGTGCGACTTATGCATGCGCAGTGGGCACCCGACTGTGAAGCCACAAGCTGTCAGAGCCTGGTGCCCACAGTTGAGATGCCGGCGCCAGGGAGAGAAGAAGAAGAGAAAGGGACGTTGCAGGTGAGCACATCGCTGGATCCTGGGACAGGCAAGTGTGTGTTAACCCCCCTGGCGGTATTCCTGAGTGTAGCTCCACAAGCGGTAACCCTGAGCTACACTCGGGAATACACTGCGGCGTTGCTCCGGGATCTCTTCTTCACTTACCTTGTCCTGCGCTCCCGCGATGTCCCTCCTGCAGTGTCCCCGGCAATGTCCTCCAGCCGATGCCGGCATATGTCTTCTGGGTTCCGTTCCCTGCGAGCCTCGGGACGTACGGGGGATGGAACGGCTGGAAATTTAAAAATGTGAAAAAGTGACATTCACTAAATACACTAAAATCACATAGTATAACATTCCTGTATCAAACCATTTCACATACATTTTGTCCCTACTGCTTTGTCCGGCGCCCTGCCTGCATTTTTACTGTTCTTTCTGCCTGGAAACTGAGAAACGTCCATGGCGTCCAAAAAGCGTCCCTTTAGGTCAAAAGCGGTTTTAGACCGGCTAGAGAACAGCGATAGCAAATCAGAACCACTCGCAGGATTGAGTGATAATGATTGGGGAAATTCGTGATCAGAGACTGAAAACGATTCTGCGACTGAGCTCAGTGATGTGCGAACTTGGCGCTATATTTCAAATTTCAGTGTTTTTGGTTTGATTATATTATTGAATTAAATGTATTATTATTATTTTTTATGATTATTTATTAAATTACAATTTATGTTTTCGTGTTTCAAATTTTATCCTACCCCTAGACTCTTGTTCGGACAGATTTCAGTGAGTTATTCCTAAAAATTACAGCCTACAATAAAAAAAATACAGAGTTCCTTGCAAAAAAATGTACCGCTTTGAGCACAGAAATATGGACATAATCAGACCGCTAGGGAGGCTACAAGTCAGCAGCTACAGTTTTTGTAGGTGCTGACTTTTAATAAACACAAAATTGACTAGAACTAAGCTTTAAGAACATTGGACCAGAAGAGTTTAATCGGCTAAAAACATTCAACCAGCAGGGGACTAAATATGAGATTTCTGCATAGGAGAGGGGGGGGTCCTTTTGCACTTCTATATGGAAGGGGTGTTCCTTGCCAGACTTCCAATTGAACAAAAACAGCAACAGCACATTTACTTACATTGCACTTTCATGGTACCACCAGAGACATTACAACGTATAGAATTTAAAACCAATATACTTTATTATAAAGAGTATATAAAATGCATAAAAATATCACGCCCAAATATCACACTGATAACTCTCTCAAAACTGGACTATTACACAACATACACAATTTTGATTTCTGCTTTAGGAACCTTAGGTTGTCACTTGTCCGTTCTTTATGGTCCTCTGGCTACTTTTATCGCACTGTTGACCCTTTGTGGCTGCTGAGAATATCATAAATGATACCATTTGAGGTGAGAACCATGTGACCCTTCGTGGACTAGCTATCTATGCCTGGGTGCGCCTTTTTCAAGGGTCCTGGGTTTAGTAACACTTTAACTTTGAGTAATAACTTGTTGGTTTTATAAAATAATGTCATGTATGTATTATGCTGTACTCAGGGGCGGACTGACAACTCATGGGGCCCCGGGCAATAGGGGATCATGGGGCCTCTGTGTTGGGGGCAGGGGCGGACTGACACCTCATGGGGCCCTCGGGCAATAGGGGATCATGGGGCCCCTGTGTCCTTGCCTACACTTAAAAACCACACCCAAAAAAGCCTATGAAAGGTACCAGGGGCATCTCATGGGGCCCCCTACTGACCCCGCGCCCTCGGGCAGTGCCCGAGTTCCCAAATGGTCAGTCCGCTCCTGGTTGTGGGTATCTCTAAGCTTCTCTCTGCACAGCCAGGCAACAGGTATTTCTCACACCAACTTGCATCCAGGAGATGGTAACCAGTCCATGGGCTTGGTTTTGTTGCTTTATTAGGGGTATTCAACTTGGATAGGGAAATAGAGATTATGCCAGTTGGCTTGAATCAATGGAAGTGGGATACTTTCTTCCTATGCACATGGGCAGGGGTGGACTTAAAACTCATGGGGCCCCCGGGCAACAGGGGATCATGGGGCCCCTGTGTCAGGGCTCCCGGTAAGACCAGAGATGCGTGAACTGACACATGGAAATGCAGCCTCAAGTATGGTGTAACAATATAATTTATTAAAGGTTATACACAAAATATAACGCACAATATAACAAAACCAAACCTCCAACTGATAACGGAATGTACACAGATAAGAGCAGTCAGGACTGGTGAGGTGAAGTGGTCAGGCGGGCCGGGTCAGGAATCATCGGGCAGACAAGACACAAAGGAGTAGGCAGAGGGTAGTCAGACGGACCGGGTCAGGAACAATCAGGCAGACAAGGTACCAAAGGAGCAGGCTGGAGAGTGGTCAGGAATAGCCGAGGTCAGGACAGGCGGAGTTCATTCAGGGTCAGGATCAAGCAGAATCAGGAATAAGGCAGGAAGCAGACAGGATGCAGGTACAGGGGCTCATGGAAAACATACACCAAGGCACTGACTGCAGGTCTGGCCATTCCTTAAATACACCTCCTGCAATCAGCCTCAGGTGATGGCTGACTGCAGGAGTGAGCTTCTGGTTTCTGAGAGCACCCGCTGGCCAGCCCTGGTGCTGCAGCCCACAAGGCAGGTGAGTCCCACCACCGTTGGCAAGTCCATTCCTGACACCCTGTGTCCTTGCCCAAACTCAAAAAAGCCTATGAAAAAGGTACCAGGGGCATCTCATGGGGCCCCCTACTGACCCCGGGCCCTCGGGCAGTGCCCGAGTTTCCAAATGGTCAGTCCTGGTTTCCTGTAGATAAAGTATGCTCTCAAATACTACAGGCGAAGTAGAGGAACCCGCGAAACATGTTGACAAGAACTGGCTAAACACGTCTAAGAATTTACCATCTGATCTATGGTGCTCAAAAGTACCATTTTATGGCAATACTAGTCCAGTTTTGAGAGAGTTATCATTGTGATTTTTGAGCATGATATTTGTATGCATTTTATATATAATAAATTTAATGTAATACATTTTATATGTTGTAATATCTATAGTGGTACCATGAAAGTCCGTATTGCCTCAACTATATTTCTTCATAGTAATTTTGGGACGTAGGTACCTTTTTATGAGTATACATTTTTCGGCACACTTTACTACTTACATTGCACAATGATATTGATGTTTTGATTAATGGCCGAAAGATTATTGTGAGCCAAACAGTGATAATTATCTGCCCCGCTGGATGATATATTGCTCAGATAGAGCACAAGCTCACTTCCATTGCCCTTGCTGAGCACATTCTTCTCTCCCTTCATCCAGGTCACCTGAGCTCCAGGGTTGCTGTCCACCGAACATTTCAGAGCCAGTGAGCTTCCTTCTTGTACTGTCAATTCCTGTTGTATGGTACAGTTAGTGATGGTGTGGTTTTGTATTTCTGTAGAACAGACAAAAAAAGCAATTATTAAAGAGGTGCTGCCATGTCTGTGAACCCCATTCCATCCCACTGATAGTTACCTCTCCAATAATACCCTAATGCTCCTTCATCCATCACTGCCGATACCAATCTAACAGGTAGCAGCTAGCATCAAAGCCTATAAGAAGGAGCAATGGTGTATTTAGGTTTTGTGTTGCCCTAGGCAACACAAAAATCGGCCTCCCCCCCTACGGAGAGACCCTGACACTGACAAACACCCCCCTCCCCCATAACAAGAGACTGACATTGACCAACAACACCCCACCCTAGCCCCCCACCCAAGAGAGCCTTCCATCACCGCCCCCCATACACTGGCAACCCCCACCCCGGCGAGAGAGAAGACACTCACCTTCACAGCTCCGGACATCCCTGGGAATAAGAGTCGGGCTCTGCATACACCAACAAGCAGCCCGCAGCCTCTCTCAGATCCAACCTGACCCCCATACTGCATGTGTCCTTTCTTCCATCCCTTCTTTCGGGGGGCAACTCTGCCCCCCTGAAAAATGCTGCAGCCCCCCTGAAAAAAATGCTGCCCCCCTGAAAAAAATGCTGCCCTAGGCAAATGCTTTGTTTGCCTTGTGGTAAATATGCCCATGAGAAGAAGTGATGTCCTTGCTTTCATAATGTGACTATTGATTAGAATTGATTGATTAGGTCACTTGCTCCCCCGTACCTGAAAGCACCGGGTATTTTGTGCCAGTTAAGGTAGATAAAACTATGACGGGTGAATTGCTGAAGATGGGAGTGCCAGTGGTCACCCTAAACTGCCAGTGTCTTTAAACAAATTCTCCTGACAAAAAAATTAATTGTTAAAGTAAGTTTTTTGTCCCCGGGAGTCTCTGCTCTGACTTATTTACTTGTATGTAAATTGCAGCTTGAGCTACTGAATTCTGTAGGCAACTGGAACTGGCTTATGGCTACAGGAGATAAGGAGACACAGGAAAATGTGCACAAGAAATGAGAATAGCATGTGCTGGCTTCATGGAAGATACAAAATATTTATATAAGCCCTTTGTCTCTCATGCCCTCTGAGGAAGATCTAGAATGTGGAATGATTGAATCGGGTCGGGGGGTTTTTCATTCTTTTCTGTGTGGTTTCATATTCTTGTATTAAAAATTCTCATGTAAGAACACTGTCAGAGCAATATTCTTTTTAGAACCCATATATATTACAATGGCAAATGTGTATGTTATAAAGGTGATACAAATCTCTTTTAACAAAATGTCTCTTTCTATATATGTATCATCCCATTGCTGCATTAAAGTCCCACTGGGGATTCTTTTTTTTTTTTTGCAGTTTTATTGATTTTTCATACATCAAATTTGCTAAAGAAAAAAGAGAAAGAAGCTCATCGATGGTAGAAATCTGCAAGGGTACAGAACCCACTGGGGGTTCTTTGGGTATATGCAAATATTTATATGTAATATTTCATATTTATAGTTATATTAACCCCTTCACCCCAGCCGCACACAAGTGTGCGGTGTCCCAGGGCATCTGGGCCTAGACGCCGAGCGGCCGCACATTTGCGTTCATGTAACAAAAAACATATGTGCTGAGAGCGCGCGTCCTGCGCGCTCCCTAAAAGTCCCAGCACACATGTGCGGTACTCACAGAAAGGTCCCAGTCCGCTCTTTCGATCGGGACCTTTCCCGATCATGCGACCGCCGTGACGACGCGTCACGGCAGTCACATGATCCCTAAACCACGCCCCACGCACGTCTGAAACTCTTAAAGGGCCGGTTGGCGCCGGCGGGAAGGGGTTACAGAAAAAAAGTTAAGGTAATTATAAACCCTGACCCTAATAAAATCCAATTTAGTCTGCTAAAGCACTATGCATCATGTTGATATTATATTGGAGACAGTTGTTCTTATTACAAGATGAGTTAATGTGATAAAATATATATGAAATGTACAACAATACCTAGGATGGTAATACAGATGGAAGGTGGATCTGTAAATAAACAGAAATAAAAAATAAACCAATATACATTGATACAAAGCATTCATTATTCCATCAGGTGCTCAATGTTGTGTAAGTCGATTATTCTTTGGCTACCTTAACACAATTTTAAGTAAATAAGTCACTATTTTAAAACCCAAAACCAAAGGCGTGGCTGCAGAGAAAAAGATTTATTCTTACCACTCCTCTGTAGGTGACAATTTTTTAGCATTTGCCACTTCCAGAAGTGTCGGATACCTGATACTCCTCTACAGGCTATTATTATTATTATACAGTATTTATAAAGCGCCAATAGTTCGCTCAGCGCTGTACATTACAGAGGGGGACAGAACATGTGACAGAACAATACCAATACAATGCAAAACATGAGGGGTTCGAGGGCCCTGCTCTTTCAAGCTTACAATCTAGGAGGGAGGGGATGGTGGCACAGGAGGAGATAGCTGTGGGGGATGGAGTGGTAGGAAGAGTGAAGGAGGTCGGCAAGTTAGCAGGGGGTGGGGTAGGCTTCCCTGAAGAGGTGGGTTTTCAGGGTGCGCCTAAAGGAGAGGAGAGTAGGTGATAATCTGATGGGTTGGGGCAGGGAGTTCCAGAGGATGGGTGACACCCTGGAGAAGTCCTGGAGGCGGGCATGGGAGGAGGAGACCAGGGAACTAGAGAGAAGGAGGTCTTGTGAGGAGCGGAGTGTGCGTGCTGGGTGGTACTTGGATATTAGGTCAGTGATGTAGTTCGGGGCAGTATGGTGGACGGCTTTGTACGTCAGTGTTAGGATTTTGAATTTGATCCATTGTGCAATCGGAAGCCAGTGGAGGGATTGGCAGAGGGGGGTGGCGGAGACAGAGCGGTTGGAAAGGTGAATGAGTCTGGCAGCCGTGTTCAGGATCGACTGAAGCGGGGATAGCCAGCGGCAAGGCAGGCCAGTGAGGAGGGAGTTGCAGTAGTCTATGGTTCCTTTCTCCGGCCCCTGTGTCTCTGTAGGATAAAATAATGATTTAAGGAAGGAACCAAAGAGATTTACGTATCTGACACACCTGGAAGTGTCCTGGAAGATGTTTAAGCCACCATAGCTCTTAAAGAGAATGGAAATAGGCAACAAGGACTGTACCTTTGGTTGTGGTTTTTATAATAGTGGTAGAGTTACTTTATGCCCTGAATTAGCCTTCAAGAAGTGGGGACCGGCAAAGGGCTTAACTGCCTAAATAAATGACTATTTAAAAAGCTTTTATTGCCCAACCTCTGCAGCCAATGCTGGTGTCATTCCTCTTTGTTGGAATTGTAATGTAGAATATGAAAATACACTGGAAATATAATTAAAAGAATAATATCTTTGAACTAGCAGAAGAAGAAGAGGCAATGGCTACTGTTGGGTCTCTAAGAAATAGGTGAGTGATTCAACCAAATGGTGGACACCCACAAAAAAAAGCTCTAGTGCTTTTATTTTGTGTGCTATAACACAGAAGTAAAAATGTATCTAAAGCCAAAACTTTTTAAATAAATAAATATTTAAAAATCTTTTCTTACCAATTACAGACAGCTCAAGATATTTACAGGTTCAAAACCTTGAACACTTAATTGCCCAACTTCTGCAGCCAATGCTGGTGTCACTCCTCTTTGTTGGAATAGTAATGTAGAATATGAAAGTACACTGGAAATATAATTAAAAGAATAATATCTTTGAACTAGCAGAAGAAGAAGAGGCAATGGCTACTGTTGGGTTTCTAAGAAATAGGTGAGTGATTCAACCAATTGGTGGACACCCACAAAAAAAAAGCTCCAGTGCTTTTATTTTATGTGCTATAACACTGAAGTAAAAATGTATCTAAAGCCAAAACGTTTTATGTTTTGGATTAAGTGGGCAATGGTTTGGTTAAATCCTTTGTGGGATTTATATTGTCATAGACAAAAACATGGGCAGCACATAAAAAGAGGACCTCAAATATCAACTGAGATCTCAGTTACCTTCATTTACCCTTTTTGATGTGCTGGGCTTTTTTTTTTTTTTACCTTTGGATTTGAGCCATGTCTCTATTGGTCATGTATCTGAGATCAGAAGAGAAAGGTGAAGGTGCCAGGTGCCTGTATTTCCTGGGGAACATTGTCACCAAAATTGAAAGTGAAGGAAGATTTAAACATTTGAATTGTGACCAGAACAGAAATAGAGGACAAATCCTTCCATAAGGACACTTGTTCTAGTGACAATTGTCTAAGAAGGATTTCCCCCACTTTAGAGGGGTCTTTTCAGGAACTGAAGGGTAATCTCTCTAGTGTTGTACAGACAGGAAGAAGAACCTGGAACATGTATGAGTGAGACACTGGATTTGACTCATAAATATTTTGTGGTCAACGAAGGTCACTAGCATTCAAACGGGGCTTGAACAGTGGCTTTGATGAGGCTTCTCTCACCACAAATAGGGTACCTTTCAGCTAGGGGAGCCAGAGTTTGGAAGCCAGTTATAGGTCTAATGAGAGCGCCAGACCAAGAAGCCAGGGGTCCAAAGCTCCTTAAATACTGATGAAAATTCATACAAGAAGACATCATTCTTCAATGCATTTTGGGGGCTAAATTATCTTCCTTTTTTTTCAGAGCTATAAGACAAATACAATGGTGGTTGTATGCAACTACTGTATATGAACTTCTATGCTAGTTAAACATTGAAGTTCTTCAACAATCATAATAAACCCAAAAAATTGACATCATAATAATCTGAAAACAAATATAACAAACACTATATTAAAATTAATTTGATTATTAATACATTTTGAAGAAAATAGATTGCATTAACAATTCAAAATTTATTTTGATTTCTATAAGTTGCATCAACAATGGAATTAATTATAATATAATAGTTTTTATATGTTTTCATATCTATAGTTATACATCATATGGAAATATATGAATCTGACTATGATTTGATTAACATTCAATGTCATTTTGTCTTGTAGCTCCCGATAAAGAGAGAACACTTTGAGCCCCTGACATGTGATAGCTGTTTTGACTTTTCCTTAGGGATGAGCCAATGGTTTCACCTTCTGTTCGAAAGGGCCTGAGCATCATACAGTGTATAAAAGTAGTACTTCCTGCTGTCAATGGTTCCTAAGGAAACAGTGGGTGCTGGCACCCGATGCATCCCTAGCAACTGCCACTATCACTGGTACATTGCTCACATGGCCGGAAATCCTCAGCTATGTAAGCAAAGGGATGGGAATAGCAGTGATATCCCTGCCCACATATGGTAACTGGCCATATATAAGCAATGACATTGACCAAATATGGATAGGGCCGTATTTGGTCAATGATGTCACTACTATCTTCACATATACTATATTGCTGAAAACAGCTGAGGGAGTTGTCATTTCATGAGCAGTCCCATTAGGATTTGTCATGTCATGTTCACCAACCAGGAAAAGCTGGGGGAGGATCATGGGACATTTAGTCCCCTTGGGTGAACCGCCCACTGAAAGTAATGAGGTTTGAACTGCAGCCACCTCCAGGCCCTGCAGAAGAACGAGGGTAAAGTGCATCATTTCCCAGGCTGTAGAGGACACAGCTTCCTCTTGTCATGAGGGTGCTCAGACAGTGTATTTCAATGTCCAGTGTGCACCAACACTGCTACTTAACGGTGGCCTGAGCAGGATCCGGAGTGCTGAGTGTAGGACAGCCAGAGTCACCTGGGTGCAGAGCAGAGAGTGGACTAATTGCTGTGTATGATTGGATGGTGAGCTGCAATATTACTGGGACTAGTGAGCTGCTGCTGTGGGGTTTACCATGTGCTGCTAAAGAAAAGAGTCTGAGCCCTTTAGGAACTGCCCATATAGCCATCTAGTAGCCTTGTTGCTGCCTGCAGGCATGACTGGGACTATTCTCATGTGCACCAATGGTGCAATTGGGCCCCAACGCTAGCTGGCTAGAATTAGGACTAAAGACTGCCCCTTTACAGCTGCTACACAGAGACCTTTGCTTATTGCCTATGCTAAGAGGTATCTCTCAGAGGACATTGCACCATATCATAACCATTATTCTAGAGTGCACTCTAAACTGGTTATAGTATGATCATTCACGTTGCAGTTAATGTTTATATGCGCTGTTTATTTCTAACTCTCAATCTAGTGGCTTAAAACTCTATTCAGAGTTACTTTGGCTTAGTAATTATACTGACTAGCGGACTGTGTCCGAACCTACCTTCTGTGTGTTCAGACCACCATTTATTGTAACTCATACCAATACATTGAGTTCATTTACTGCTAAATGATCTTGTATCTATTTCCTGGTGCAAATTCACAGCCGAATTAAAGGCTTATCTTTACTAGTGTTCTTATAAGTGCTTGCAGTAACTTTCATTCAATCAAGTGCGTCAGAAGGCTGAGGGTGTTCTTGGAGTCAAGGTGCAGAACAGAGAGCCCAAATTATCAAGTGGCTCCTGAAGGGGTAGTGCTACATTTACAACAGTATTAAAAAATGTTCAGACTATTAATTCTTTTGTCTGACATTCTCATTAGAGCCACATAAAAAATAACTAAAAGAGATTTTAATCCTATCCTACTATAGCTAAAACTATAAAAAGGCTTGGTTTTGGATTTATTATAATGTGTAGGTGACAGTTTGTACAATTTACAACATTTTAGTTGCTGGCATGATTTCTTTTTATATTTTCCAACCACTTGCTCATATTTTATACTCACACTGAACAGATATTGTGATTTTATTTTGGGTATAATGCTTCGATGATGAGAAGGTCATCTGACAAGTTAATGAAGTTTGATCGTGACTCCGAGTCGGGACAAATGTCAGGTTTGTAGAATTAGTCCATATTCCCGTCTGATTCTGCCATGTTATTAGTGCGTTGGGGCAGCCTCTTGGTGCATTACATGTTAGGGTCACACTTTTACCTTCAGTCAGTATTCCAGGGTCCAAGATTACAGGTTTTTCATTAAAATCTACAAGAAAAGCCACCCCAAAACATATTTAAATTAGGTTTTAATGACAAGATATAACAAAAATGTTGGTGATATTGTAACTATTTCAAATTATAGCAAATTACGTGCTTTTTTTTTATTGGTGTCTTCACACCTATTAGTTACCGGGTTCATTATTCCATTGGCCTTGTCACAGGGGTTCATAGCAAAGGGAAAAGAACCTTAAGAAACACACTGCAGTCTATAAAGACAAGAGTAATGGCAGAAAAGAGGTAATTCAAGATAAAATTATATATAGCCTGTTCATTCTTTCACATAAGCACACAGCAAATGCCAAGTAGAGTAACCAGACCTTCTGCTTCTGCTAGGACTCCTATATACCCGTTATTCAATCTTGACATTACAGCAAGTACAATAGCATTGCAGTGCGAGCATAGAACCATCAAGTTACCTGGAAACCATTCTAGATTTATGAAAGATAGGATATTTTGTCTTGTTTTATAGGACATAAATGCACAACATTTGCAATTATGTTCACAAGAAAAGTTTCTATGTTGTGAAGGGGAGTATTTACCACAAAGCAAACAAGGCATTTGCCTAGGGTGGCATTTTTCAGGAGGGCAGCGCCTTGGACAGAAGAGGGGAAACACACATTGCATGGGGTCCAGGAGGGATCCGAGAGAGGCTGTGGGCTGCTTGACACTGTCAGTGTGCAATAAACCTGAGCAGGGTGTCTTATATATATATATATATATATATATATATATATATATAATATATATATACACAGTGGGGATCGAAAGTTTGGGCACCCCAGCTAAAAATTTGTATTAATGTGCATAAAGAAGCCAAGGAAAGATGGAAAAATCTCCAAAAGGCATCAAACTACAGATTAGACATTCTTATAATATGTCAACAAAAGTTAGATTTTATTTCCATCATTTACACTTTCAAAATAACAGAAAACCAAAAAATGGCGTCTGCAAAAGTTTGGGCACCCTGCAGAATTTATAGCATGCACTGCCCCCTTTGCAAAGCTGAGACCTGCCAGTGTCATGGATTGTTCTCAATCATCGTCTGGGAAGACCAGGTGATGTCAATCTCAAAAGGTTTTAAATGCCCAGACTAATCTGACCTTGCCCCAACAATCAGCACCATGGGTTCTTCTAAGCAGAAAAACTGAAACTGAAAATAGTTGATGCTCACAAAGCTGGCGAAGGCTATAAGAAGATAGCAAAGCGTTTTCAGATGTCAATATCCTTTGTTCAGAATGTAATTAAGAAATGGCAGTCATCAGGAACAGTGGAAGTTAAAGCAAGATCTGGAAGACCAAGAAAAATATCAGACAGAACAGCTCGCAGGATTGTGAGAAAAACAATTCAAAACCCACGTTTGACTGCACGATCCCTCCAGAAAGATCTGGCAGACACTGGAGTTGTGGTACACTATTCCACTATAAAGAGATACTTGTACAAATATGGTCTTCATGGAAGAGTCATCAGAAGAAAACCTCTTCTACATCCTCACCACAAAAATCATCGTTTGAACTTTGCAAATGAACATACAGACAAGCCTGATGCATTTTGGAAACAAGTTCTGTGGACCGATGAGGTTAAAATTGAACTTTTTGGCCGGAATTAGCAAAGGTACGTTTGGAGAAGAAGGGGCACAGAATTTAATGAAAAGAACCTCTGTCCAACTGTTAAGCATGGGGTTGGATCAATCATGCTTTGGGGTTGTGTTGCAGCCAGTGGCACAGGGAACATCTCATGAGTAGGAGGAAAAATGGATTCAATAAAATTTCAGCAAATTTTGGATGGTAACTTGATGCCATCTGTGTAAAAAGCTGAAGTTAAAGAGAGGATGGCTTCTACAAATGGATAATGATCCTAAACACACCTCGAAATCCACGGAGGATTACATCAAGAGGCGTAAACTGAAGGTTTTGCCATGGCCTTCACAATCTCCTGACCTCAACATAATTGAAAATCTATGGATAGACCTTAAAAGAGCAGTGCGTGACAGACAGCCCAGAAATCTCAAAGAACTGGAAGACTTTTGTAAGGAAGAATGGGCAAAGATACCTCAAACAAGAATGGAAAGACTCTTGGCTGGCTACAAAAAGTGTTTACAAGCTGTGATACTTGCCAAAGGGGGCAGTACAAGATATTAACTCTGCAGGGTGCCCAAACTTTTGCAGACGCCATTTTTTGGTTTTCTGTTATTTTGAAAGTGTAAATGATGGAAATAAAATTTAACTTTTGTTGACATATTATAAGAATGTCTAATCTGTAGTTTGATGCCTTTTGGAGATTTTTCCATCTTTCCTTGGCTTCTTTATGCACATTAATACAAATTTTTAGCTGGGGTGCCCAAACTTTCGATCCCCACTGTATATATATATTTAATTATTATGAATTTGTGCCTTTAATGTGCCATTTCTGGACATTTTGGGAGTGCCTTTTCACCTTAATATTAGTTATTTAAAGTGCAATTGATGGAAAAAAAAGATTGTGGATACCCACTCATAACACCCACCTGAGTAATCCAAAATTGTCTGTAAGATTATTGTATTCAAATGTTTCTGGTAAGGGCACTGTTAGTGTTACAGCATACAAAGACACGTTAGACAGTTTTGGCCTTCCAACCTTGAGGTAACAGTTTGGTGAAGGTCCTTTTCGGTTCCAGCATTAATGTGCCCCAATGCACAAAGACAGCTCCATAAAGACATGGTTTGATGAGTTTGGTGTGAAGGAACTCAAGGGTCCTGCACACAGCCCTGACCTCAACTCTAATGAACTTCTCTAGGATGAATTTGAATGTTAATAATAAGCCAGATCTTCTCAACCAGCATCAGCACCTGATCTCTCAAAGGCTCTTTTGGCTGAATGGACACTAATTCCCTCAAACAGATTCCAAAATCTCATGGAAAGCCTTCCCAGAAGAGGTTGTTGTAGCTGCAAAGGTTGGGAAGAAATGGTATGTTCAGCAAGCTTTTATGGTCAATACTTTTTACATATTTAGACTTCCTCCTGAATCAAATTTCCTTCATTTGATACCTGGATTCCTGTTATATTCTAGAAATCTTCAAAAAGTATTGGCTAGTCTACTTTAATACTTTCTAAGTCACTGACCAGGCATTATTATGTTGCTTGGGAGTTCAGTTTTTCCTTACTGCATGCTTGACTCAAGTCAATCACAAAAAGTACTGAAACCTAAGACTGCCAGTCAACAAGCATTTTAATAAGGAGTTGAGCAGTGACAGGCTGCCAGGTATCAGGCAACAGCTTGTTTCCATCAAATTAACTTAGAAGGTTCAAAAGGACCTGCAAACTGTTATTCAACAGAACCCGTGATTTCTCTTCTCTAGAAATTATTTTTCTATAATACAAAGCGTGCCAAAAAGCTTCCTGTTGGATTTTAAATACAAATCATGATCTACATAATTCCCAGTGTGTGGTGTCCATTTTGAACATTTAAAGTCTCCATATTTATCTCAGAACATTTAGTCTTTAGTGAGTAGACCATTAGAGGGAACTGTTGACATTTTTGGGCAGTAAACCTACCTGTGACCTGTATGGTTATCATTTTGGTTACATAGGTGTACTTCCGGTTGCCTTGCCCATCTTCAAATCTGAAGTGATACTTTCCAGAATCTTCCTCTTTGGCGTCAGTTATCATCAGTGTACAATCTCCATTATCTGGATTTCCCATCAGCTGAAAATGTGGCTTTGTACCAACAATTGACTTGTCACTAGAGGCTACAAATTCATGGCAGAGAGTCTTCCAGTGACCTCTAGAGCCGGTAAAGGATTTCATGTAATCAGCAGTAAACGTACAAGGAATTGTGACACAAAGACCCTTTTGGACAGTAACGGTCTGATCCACCTGAATAGAATAGCCATCTACTTCTCTAATATCTGAAGGAAAAAGATAAAAAGAAAAATGGTATAACATACTCCCAAAGCATTGATAAAATGTATGTAAAAGCAAAGGTTTTTCTGAGAAGGGTTAGACCATCTCTCAAGCTTTTATTGCTGTTTATTATTAATGACTAAGCCCTGCTGGTAGGGTGGAACGCCTTGGAGGCATGGCCTGGACGGAGTATGGGCTGAGGTTGCTTCTCCTACTGTTATCTATGGGATATGTAGGATGTGGATTTCTTTCCCCTGCATACATTGTCACTCTCAGCCTCAAAAAACACATAGACCCTCCTGGCGTCTCCAACTCGCAATTCAAGCTCCTTATTCAAGTTACGACGGCAGCTAAGCAGGTTATAGCGAAATCCTGGAAATCCCCCACCCTAAGTGTTGCGGCTGTCAAAACCAGAATAACACAAGCCATGATACATGCAAAGGTGGAAGCCACAATTCTAGACAAGATTCCTAAATTCTTGCGCATATGGAGCCCATGGGTAGAGCGCTTCCTCCCCCGCCTAACTTTGATGAATCACTCCTTCTCCCTTGATTTGTATACTGTGTGCCAAGGATACTGTCAATAGCCCTTTGCAGGCAACACGTGGGGTCTGCTGTAAATTTGATGAATGCTCATGGAGTCATCGTTTTTGTTCCTCTTCCCCTTCCCTCCCTTCCACCCCCGTCTGACCCCCATCCAAACTTCCCCCTATTTCTTTAATGCACTTGGGAGACGTTACTCTGATTGGCTGGGACAATAATGTCATCTGTTGTCAACTCTTATTTACCTGTTTTCCGCTAGAAAAGTATAGACATTTGTAATGTGATCCTCATCCATTTTTTTCTATGTCCTACTGCCATTTCAATGTCCAATGTACATTACCAAATTCTCCTTGTTTGTGTTATTATGGTTTTTTGTTAATAAAAATGTTTGAACAAGAAAAAACACATAGAATTTCCAGCTGTGGGTACCACAGTCTAAGTGGCAGCTGCCCAAGAGTGGTCATCATGGGGGCTTGAGAAAATCTGCGGTAACCCCTACATA